AATGTGCTACAGCCCCATGGAGGGGGGGTTTGGCTCTGCAAGACTGCCGTGAACAAGTTCCTTGAATGGAGGGATACATTAAGAGTTTACTAAGTTACTAGTTTTTCAGCTTTCACATGCACATGAAGCAGTTGAAAACACTACGGCTTGTGTCAAGTGCACCTTAGTCTTTAAAGTGGCAGCCTTGCTCTTTAATGCTGTCGAGAGGTCTTGTGCTCAATACAATGTGTCACTTATTTGTTTGCATTTTGTTGTTGCTTCCATGAGTATTGATTGTGGATCCAACTAAAATGAAATCCTTGAGAACTTCAATTTTTTTTCCGTTTACCATCATGCGGTCTAGTGTTCCAGCTATGAGGATTTTTGGTTTCTTTACACTGAATTGCAATCCATAACGAAGGCTGCATCTCTTGGTTTTAATCAACAAGAGTTTCAAGTTCACCTCCACTTAGGCAAGCAAGGTTGTGTCATCTACATGTGACAGGTCTTCCTCCAAACCCGAGGCAACATTCTTCTTCAAATAGTTCAGCTTCTGTAGTTATGTTTGCACAGTCTACATACTGAATAAGTATGGTAAAGCAACACAATCCTGGTGCACATCTTTCTTGATTTTAAACTACTCTGTATTTTCTTGTTCTGTTCAAACAACTGCTTCTTGGTCGATGTACAGGTTTTGCATGAGCACAATGAAGTGTTCTGGAATTTCCATTCTTTTCAGTGTTATCCATAATTTGTTATAACCACATAATTGAATGCCTTTATATGGTTAACAAAACAATTCTTTCTGATGGTAGAGATGACCTCCCCCATTTCAAGTATTTTTCTGAATCCGACTTGAATTTCTGGCAGTTCTCTGTCAATGTACTGTTGCAGCCATTTTAAGATGATCTTCAACAAAATTTTACTTGCATGTGATATCAATGATCTTGTTGAATAATTTCCCCATGCTGTTGGGTCACCCTTATTTGGAATGACATTGTTGGTTACCTTCCAAATGTCTTGCCATTGGCGAGTGCTTCCAGTGCTGCACAAGTTTGTTGAGACACTTCAATTGGTCTTCCATCAGTTTCTGGAACCTCACTTGTCACCAGTGCCTTCCGTGCAGGTTAGATGTTTCTCTTCATTACCACTCCTTTTTGATAACATACTGCCTTTTGAAATGGTTGAAGATTGCCCAGGTACTTTTGATACTGTGACTCTGTGTATTCCTTCTATTTTCTCTTGATATTTCCTGCATAGAATCCTTCAAAATGTCAACTCCAGCCTTGAATTTTTTTCTTCAGTTCTTTCAGCTTGAGGAACGTTGATGTGTTCTTCCCTGTTGGTCTTCTAACTTCAGTTCTTGGCACACTTCATTATAATTTTTTACTTTGTCACCTGGAGTCATCTTTTGAAATCTTCTGTTTAGCTCTCGTACTTCCTGTCTGCCATTTGCTTTATTTACTCTATTTTTAAGAGCAAATCTAAGTGTCTCTTTCTGATATCCACTTTACCATTTTTAAAAAATATTTGAGATCGTTTTATTGGGGGCTCTTACAGCTTTTATAACAATCCGTACATCAAGTGTATCAATCCTATTCCATTTGCTTTCTTCCTTTGCGATGGTCATGATGTCACCGCCCAGCTGACTGTAAGGGACTGTCTTCAATGGTCTTGAGCTGATCTCTGAATTCAGGCGGATGCATTCAAGGTTGCACTTTGACTTTTCTGTGCTTGTTTTAACTTTATTCAGCTTCATCCAGCTGTCAAAGTTTTAACTTTGTGGAGAAGTCGAAATTTAAACTTTTCATGATCCAATTCTTTTGTACTTGAAATTTTTTGTTGACTCTAGGAACTTTCATTAATAGAAAGCATGCTGACTCAGGATCATTTCTGATATTTTTGTTATGAAATATGGATTTTGTGACACATTTCGTAACATAATGGCCCTGTGGAATCTGGAGGTATGGTTTTGTGGGACACACGAGTTACTCTGGGAGCAGGGTGCTGGTGGCAAAAATTATGTGGGACACAAATGGCCCTCTAGACTGTGCATGGTCTTCCATATCCCTTGATGGGAACACGCAATTTAGGGCACCTGAAAATGTGGTATTCACACCTATATGGAAGCATTGCCAGAAAGCCAACTTCCAAATAGTTCACAAGGACCTGGAAATAGAAGGCTCATTTCCTGGTACAAAAAGCCAAGAGACAAGTTTTGCAAAACCATATATCCAAGACGCATTACCTCGTACAATACCCTGTACCGAGAGTAATTGTGGCAATGCCCATTCTGTTGTACAGGCCCTCCCTCTCCTGATGATTGCATGTGCTGTCAGTGGGAAAGTGACTGCTTAATAAACACTCACCTAAAAAGTAAACGGCACAGTGCCATCAAGTTGATTCCGACTCAAAGAGAGCTTATAGGGCAGAGTGGAACTGCCCTGGTGGGTTTCCAAAACTGTACCTCTTTCTGGGACTAGGAAGCCGCATATTTCTTCACGGAGCAGTGGTGGTCAGTCTGCTGACCTTGTGTTTAGCAGCCCAGTGCCTAATGCACGACACCCCCAGGACCCTTCAATAAATTTCCTAGGAAGAAAATGTAGGTGATCCCTTTCTGTCTCATGATAGGTTAAACTAGGTCATGAAAGGTTAAATATAGGTCACGAAAGGGTTAAACTAGGTCCTGAAGTTTTCTCTTTTTCAATCAGACCAAAGTCTCTTTGCTGGTCTAGAGATCTCATGCCTAACACCAAGAATAGAATTTTTCATTTAGTCATTACTTTTCTAGATAATTAGCATATACTTATGCCATTTAATTTTTACTGTGCTCCGCACTTTATAGAAAAGGAAATTGGGGCATAAAGAGATTGAATTGCCCAGGATGTATCTGGTGGTTGTAGTAGGAATTTGAAGGCAGTCTTTCTGATTCCAAACTCATGCTTTTTGGTTTATATTCATGTTTTTAAATCATTCTGGGGACCCAGGACCAAAATGAGGGATGGGTTAGAGACCAAGGAAGTGTCCCTTGCTTCAACCTGGGCATCTCTCCTTTTTCACTTATATATATTGGGTTTTAGTGGAATATATCTCTTGGTTCTTCTGGGAAACTCAATTGGCGTTATTATGAGGAAATGCTCGGGTTTATACCTAGACTTCTATTAACTAATCTACCACCGCCCTAGAAGGCCAGTTCAATTTCCTGATTCTAGGACAGCCTGGGGATCCCAGGTCTTTCTGCAGGTGGATTTCTTGCCCTAAGAGCAATAGAATAGATGTCAGATTCTCTGACTTTCCAGAAAACTCCAGAATAGAATACACAGAATTTCTTTGGCAGAGCCAGAAGCCTGTGAGTCTAATGTGTACAATTCTCATTACGTCGCCAGCGCTGCTAAACTTGACTCCCAGGAAAATGGTCTCATTGAACATCTGATCCCTTGTCACTCAATTCTCCCTTCTTCATGCTCGACACCAAGTGATCCTCTCCGCCCCTCTGCCTCGACTCCACCTCCTCCTTTGACATACCCACTCTTAACTTGGGGGTAAAACATTCCCATCTTTTCATGTGCCTTCACACACATGCACTTTGTGCATGGGCATTTATGAATATATATTTATATCTGATAGTGAGTGAACGCATATCCTTTGTGTTATTTTGTTACCGGTTTTCTTTAGAGTGGATGAGTTTTAGTCACTGTGTTGTCTTGATCAGATTCTGTTCAAAATTTTCTATTTTCATTTATAAATGTTAGAAGTCCTTGTAGTGTAACCATTAAGTTTTTGCCACTAACCAAAGGATTGGTGGTTCAAACTCATTATAGGATGAATACTGTATGAGCTAACCTATATGGAATAAGCAAATATACAGTGATGACATTTTCTGTGGTCACCAGGGATGGGGCTGGGGTGACATTCATAGCAGGCCCTGCATTTCCGTGAATGGTGGTGGAGTGACTGAGGAAAGGATAGTGTAGCAGTTGTAGAACATGGTGAATAAAACAAAATCATATAATTATACACGTGGATAATTGCATTGGCAAATGTTATATACATATATTTATCACACATAAGACACACACACACACACACACACACACACACACACACGTGCGCGCGGTTTATCAGTATAGGCCAGGAGGGCTCAACCTTGCTGGGTACCCTCTGTGACTATACCCAGTGGAGACTATCCCGGCATGGTCTCGCCAAGGGGCAAGAGCCTGCAGTTTTGAGCACCAACTCTCATCCTCCATCAGGTCCCTCTGCGGGCACCAACATCCCACATATGCCAAGCATGCTGCTGTGGCTGAAGCTCTCTGGGAAGGAGACGCAGAGACTTGATGTAGGAAGACTTCAGTGTGTATGGAAATTGTCTACAAATGCTGCAGGTGATTCCAGGGTGGGCCAAGGGAGTATGGGTAGAGCCCTAACCGAGTCTTCCTCTGCTTCTGACTTTCAGGGTCTGAAAGGTCTAGAATAACAGTGTGGGAGGAACAGTTGCTGCCCTGGCATCTATCTGTGAACGATGGATTGTATGAATGCAGGTCAGTCAACCTGGTCTAGTCTTCAGGATGGGGTTCCGAGGGGAGAACGAAGACCTTGAGGGCTCGCCTCTTCCTCAGACACCTCCTGTTCCATACTGGTCCCTCTCTGTTGTCCAACCAGATCCAGAGATCCATTGCTGCCCACCGACTAGCCTATATCCAGAGAACATCTTTCTTAAGTCTCTGAAAGTCTTGGGTTGTTAACTGCAGAATTAATGAAAGTTAAAAACACTAGACTCACAGAGATGTTTAGGAGAGAGGATGCATGATATGGTACACAATGTTTTCAGGTAAAAGTGACACTCTTTGAATAGCATTTGATGATAGTTTCATACTGCAAGCGTTCTTTTCTGATGCCCTTTATTGTTTCCCACTCTGGTAGTGAAGGGTTTGAACCAAGGTGGGCAATTGGAGCATGAGAGTGGGGCTTCATCCCGGTGACCCCCAGAGCCACACAGGGTGAACTCCGAGCTCATGCTCTCAGAGGTGAGGGGAATAGCCGGCTACCACAATGTTCTCCCCTGTGATGTAGCTGGCATCTGGAGAGCAAAGGAAAGACACGATTCCGGCACAGTCCTCAGGACGCCCCAACCTGCATCGAAAGAAGAGGAGGGGCTGAGGCAGTGATACCTTCCCATGAGCGCTGGCTCCGGGGTGAGCTTGTGAGGCTGAGCCTCCCATGGGTCTGAGTGAAAGGACCTCTGTTCATCACAAACTTTTGTGGGGTCCTCACATCCCAGAAAGGACAGCGGGGCAAAGAACCTGCAGAGGGCTGTCCTCTGATCTTCTCACCACGGGCTCATGAGGTCATTTCATCTAGATCAACAAAGGACACTGCCTATTACACAACTTACCTCTGTACTCCATAGAGTGCCTTGATGTGATTCCATATGTTTGGGCCCTCAAAGAGCTAAAGGAAAAGTGCAAAGGTTAGTGCCGCGGACCCACTTGGAGTCACATAGGTTCAGATCACACAGATCTGCCTTTGGGAAGAGGCTGCCCCGCCGTAAGAACTGGTGGCCCAATTCTGCTGCTGACCAGAACATCACAGGAGACTTCTTGGGTCCAAGTGCAGGAGTTCCCCCATCAGTAGTGCCGTGGTCGGGAAAGGCACTGGAGTGGACAGTGGGGCAGGGACAGGAGATGCTGCTGGCCCTCACCACTTGACTGAAGTCTGTTTCAATGACTCCTGGCACGAGACAGTTCACGCGGATGTTTTTTGGTGCCAGTTCTGCTGCCAGAGTCTTGGTCAGTCCCAGCAGGGCAGTTTTACTGACGTTGTAGACCCCCAGCTTCTGTGGGCAGAGAGGGAGGTAGATGAGATATACAACAACTGGAGAAGAGTTCTAGGCTTGTGCCGGAAATATATCCCTTCAGGAGCAACTACAAGGGTCAGTTGATAATGTCCTTAAAG